TTCACAATGAGATTATTATAGTCGTCCATTTTTTATTTATTTTTACCATGATCAGTGCAATGCCCCTTGTTAAACACTTATTCTCGAAAATTTGACCCCTAACTTAAGGTTTTCACCCAATTTTCATCCTATTGATCACAACAATCCACATAAATTTTAGCACACACGGAATCCACATCTACATCCATATTTTCCTACAAAAGTTCCACTATCCAAACTATCCTAAAATTGGTTATGGGATACGAATGTTTTTTCCGTTTGGAGGTTGTTTGGATCAAGCTTCTAAGGTCACTAATTTCATCTATATCATTTATGAATCGACATATTCATGTCCAACGTTATACTCAATTCACATGTATTTATGTCACAATTTTTTGCAAGGATAAGTAAGACTTTAACTCAAGCACATAACTTATTTATAACTCACAACCGACTCATGTTCCCAAATATATGCATCATTGCTAACAATGTTATCCAACCCACACAAGCATGCTACTAATTTTTGTTTTCAGAAAACAAAAATGCACACAAATCACACAAAATAAAATAAAAATTAGGCAAGCAATTAGATTATTTATAATACCCCCACAAACTTAAATTGAACATTGTCACCAATATAAAATTAAAGAAAAGTGAGGAAGATTTCCCTGAATTATCCGTATTGCCTATGACGTTTTGGTGCTTATGATACTAGATTTGATGGATGTTTGTCATACTTCTCCCCAAAACTTGAGATTTATCCCGTTTTATCCTTGTCAATATTGGTTGAGTGTTTCGCGACGTCATGTTCTTGAAAAAAATCAAATTGTAGATATGAGATACGTGGAAAATGTGGTACTTAGCTCAAACATCTAACAAGCAACTCGATCATTCAAAAATCTAAGGGAAGATGGGGATGGCTGATGGATTCTTAAACAAACCCTTAAATAAGTATCTTGTAATTTAAAAAAAACAAAATAAATAATTAAATAACAAAAACATGGGTTGCCTCCCAAGAAGCACTCATTTAACGTCATTAGCTTGACATAACCGAGGTGTCTACGTTGGATCCTCAGGTGACACTTCCCTCTTCTTCGTAAACTTCACCACTGGCGTTGTATTCTTCTTCACTATGGCATGGCCAATGGAGTTGAACAATTTTAACTCCGGTATAACTTCCAAAACCACTATTGATTTGATAATGTTGGGAGGTTTCTGAGGTTCTTCAATGTAGTTCTTTACTCTGTCAGGAGGATTGACTTCTTGAGTTAGAATGAAATCCACTTCTTCCCTAGTCTTTGTATAGCTTTTGGCAGCAGGTGTAGCAATCTTTGAGTAGTCGGTTGCCATGTATTGCTCTAGAGGGTCATGGAATAATGTTCTTTTGCAATTTTTACCCTTTACTTCGTCAAATGATTGGACCATATGGCAGGTGTTAGCTTTTTCTAAAGATTTTTCATGTTGATGTATGTTGAACACGACTTGCTCCTCATCAACTTGCAGTGTCAACTTCCCTTCTTGTACATCAATCAATGCTCTTCCAGTAGCCAAGAAGAGTCTTCCAAGAATCAATGACACCTTCTCATCCTCTTCCATGTCCAAC